TAAAAAGGAAGTATTGTAATCGCGAAACGTTTCAGGATTTCAGAACTTTCAACTATATTTCAACGAAAATATCCATTCTGACCGCTATCGAATGCAATTTAACGATGTTTTTGCGTGATATCTGTGCGTAAGGACAGAATAAAAGACACCTTTCCTCCGAAAAAATTATAAAACTGCTTTAAAATTAATTCTGAAGAGAATTTTTCGTGGCGTCTGTACGAACGTATGTATGTACGTGCGTACGTACGTACGTAAGTATCTCGCATAACTCAAAAACGAGTAGCCTCAGAACGTTGAAATTTTGTATATAGGACTGCTATAACATGTAGATGTGCACCTCGTATTTTGGTTGCAATCGGCCGTACCAAGCGTATATAAATATATTTATATATATATTCACTCTGTTACCCGGCTCAGTGATCTCAGTTTCTTTACTCTTATATGTTTGTAAATTGTACATTTTTTGCTTTAAAAATGATTGAATTATGTTGTTCTTATCTTTCAGTTAAGGTTTTTATGCCTTTCGGAATTCTGGACGCAATATTTGTACAATTATCAACAATTTAAAAGTTGTTTAAGTGCGGTTAAGTTTTAAATAACATGGCGGACATATTTGTTTACATTTGAAACAGCAGAATTGTAGATTTGTTGCCAATCTTCTCTCTAGATTTCACAAGATTAGAATTCTATTTTTCTAAGTTTCGCAACACAAAAATAACGCCTTCATTTATTATTGCAAATTAAATCATGCTTAATCCTTTCTGGAATTTTTTCGAGGAAATAAGTGTTTAAGATTTACTTCGTAATTTTTAATGCAGATATTTTGAGTTTTTATGTATTTTTTCCTTGTTGCGAAGTGAGAGCTGAATTAATTGAATGAGACATCGTCTGTGAAAAATAGTTTCTTTTCTGTTTTGTTTGCTTAATTTCTTTCATACATTGTTTCAGCTTTATTATACTATTTGAACAGAACAAGTGGCAACGATAATTCTTCAAATGATATAAATTTTGTGCATTCAGAGTGTCGTTATAGTAAACAAATATAGTGAATTTTAAAGAGTGCATTTATTCTATTGTGGTTTATGCGCCGTTGACGAAGTAGATTTAATTTAATCCAATCAATTTAAATGAAATTCAAGAAAAAATGCGTATAATTTAATATTCCGTACAAGGAAGTCATGTGGTGGACACATCAGATTTTTTTTATTTACACATACATGTACGGTTCGAGAGCAATTGGGATAACTCTCCTTTGGGCTAAAAATATTTAAAAACAGCATATTTTTAGAATTGTTGATAGACACTCTCGCGCGCTGGAGATGAAGAAAGCATATGGGCTAACGCCTCTTTGGCTAAAAGTATTTTAAAACAACATATCTTTAGTTTCCGATAGACAATCTCGCGCTCTGAAGAGAGAAATATTTCATTCCGTACAGCGTGTTGCACTGTTCGCTTTGAAACTGTTGAATGTTTTAGTCAAAAATTTGTTAAATTTTAAAAAATAAGAAATATGTAATAAACAAAATTTGAAACTCAAGATTCAGGTGCCCATATTCAGGTGAAGAGTTACGTTATTCAAAATCTGTTGGCTCTAGGTATTTTTTTTTTCACAATGCGAGAAACATACATACATTCATGCAGCTTTTTCATTATTTAATTTCTTTATTTATAATACAGAGGCGATAGTATTACTCTATAACAAAAAATATCGATGCACGGAACTATCCGATTGCTTTGAAATTTCATATGCGTAAATGTTTTGACCAAATATACAAATTTTGTGTCCAATGAATGAATAGTGCTATCTCCAGCGCATACAGCAGATGTATATAACGAGCTGTTTTTGAACCTGTTGTTAAAAATTTCTGTTGCATTGCGATTTAGGATACCTTTCACAGACTGAAAAAATGCCTCGCCTCAGGATTCGAGCTCATTACGAGAAACGTTCAGAGTTTGCAAGAGGTCGTATCATTGGATTGAAAGAGAGGCAAGTTGGGCAAATCGGAGAATCGCTCGTCATATGAGTCGAAGCGATGCAGCGATTAGAAGATGCTGGCAAGAATGGGTGGACAATGGCAGATTTTAGCGTTTTGATGGTAGCGGTCGATCCTAGGGCCACAACAGATCAGGAGGACTGCGTGATTTTCAGGTCAGCTGTCACAATGGCACCCGAGACCATAACTCCTGGTTGAGAGCCTGTGTGGTGTGCAGTAGTGAAAGCATGATCGGCACGCTATCAACCATCAGACGTGCGACCCGAAGACGAGTGTCATACAGACGGCTGATAGAGCGAAATCTACGCTCGTACCGACATTTACGCCACCTGCCCGCCTGCACACTGTTGAGCCAGATTACAGTGGGGCTTGGCTCGATGAGGTTGGTATGATGCTGACTGGGAGCATGTAGTCTTTAGCGACGAATTCCGTTTCCAACTGAGTTTTGACGATAATCGAAGACGTGTCTGGAGGCGTCCAGAGCAGCGTGCCGATCATGCTTTCACTACTGCATACCACACAGGCTCTCAACCAGGAGTTATGGTCTCGGGTGCCATTTCCCTTGATAGCCGGATCTCTTTGGTCGTGATTAGCGGCACACTTACAGCACAGCGGTACGTCGATGACATTCTGAGACCGCTCCTTTTGCAGTACCCTGGCCTTACGTTTCAGCAAGATAATGCCAGACCACATACGGCACGTGTTACTGTGAACTGTCTTACAGCTTGTCAAACACTTCCTTGGCTAGTCAGCCCTCCCATCGAGCATGTCTGGGTTATGATGGGAAGGCGACTGCATCCAACAAGGAATGATGATGACCTATCCCGATAATTGGAGAAAATTTGGCAAGGAATATCGCAGAAGACCATCCGGGAGCTTCATCAGTCTATGCCACGCCGTGTGGCAGCTTGCATCCAGGCTAGAGGTGGGTCAACATACTACTGAATTCGTTACTTTGTAACTCTGAAATAAATATGTCAATTTTTCTGAAATTTTCATCATTTTCTATTCTGTATATAATCTTCCTATCTACCAATTTTTATTTTCATCGGACAACTTCTTGGTGCGTTTTTTTTTTTTTTTTTTTTTTTTTTTTTTTTTACTATTTGAAAAGTGATATAGCCGTTTATAGTTGTAATGTTGCGCGCTTCCAACCTGCACGCAACAATAGTGGTGACTGCTAAAACTGAAAAGTATACAAAGTCTTAGAAGGGTTTAAATCCCTTTTTATTCAACTTTAGAAATTACAGATGCGTGCTCTTGACGCTCACAAACTACCCGACCTGGCGGTAAAATAAAAATAAGAAACTAAAAAAAAGAATAACAACAAGTGACTAACTACGAGGCTCTCTAAACGTAACTAACCTAACCGACCGCGTTCTGAGATACCGCTGACAATTCAGAAAACTTCTAAATATTACGTTGAAAGATTTAACAATCTGCCGAGGCAAGCACACAGGCCGAAACGCGTGGTTCTTCAATTTCTAACTAGCCACCTCCACGCTCGTGAAGCAAGAAAGCACACTTTCGAACTCGTTTCCCTTCTATTTAACTCAGATTACTTCCGCTGATAATTTGAATCCTTGCGCGTTCTACTAAAATTTACATACCCTGGCATTAGCAATTCCAGGGAAAAGTAAGGCTTGACAGGAAAGATAGTTTAAACTTAAAATAAATGTTAGTTAAAATAAATATAAACCCTACATAATGATTCGATGCAAAATGCTGTTTCGAGAATAATAGCCCCTTGGGCCAATGACCCTTTGGGCTAATAAATTTTAAATTGTATTTTAAAAATATAAGTATGATGATATAGTAACACTAATTTAAAATTTTAGTACTAATTTTTTATTTCGAAAGAGATAAGATTAAAATGATGCTCAGTGCATTCTAATTGATAAAAGTGGTCGTCATTGGAAGAAAAACCTTTGAGAAACAATGGCCTTAAAGAATTAAGATTTGCATTGAACTGCTTTGTTGCAATGGTACTTCTTCTTTAGAATAACCAGGGAGGGAAAAAGCTCTGTAGCACTTTGTTTTTATTACTAGCCCAAAGAGGTAATTTTCCTAGAAGGGCTATTAATTTCTTTTTGGCATTTTGCTTTGATTCACTATAAACAGAGAAACATTTTTAAATTGTTGCCACCAAATATTAGTGCCCTGTATTATATTTAAAGAAATTAAATAATGAAAAATATAAATGCATAAATGTATGTATGTTTCTCGCACTTTTTGTGATAAAACAACGGTACATAGAGCCATCAAATTTTGAATAACGTACGTCTTCATTCGAATATGGGAATCTGGAAGCCCAAATTTTGAATTTGTTTTATTATCTATTTCGTATTTTGTAAAGCATTTATGAGTTTTTGATCAAGAAATTCAAGGATTTCAAAGAGAGCAAGTACGGAAAAAACATTTCTAAGGATTTCAAAGAGAGCAAGTACGGAAAAAACATTTCTATCTCCAGCGCGCGAGAAGGCGTATCGAAAATTCTAAAGATATACTCTTTTAAATATTTTGTAATATTGCTGTTGAACCGAATTTAATGGTTTAAGTGCGAAGAACATGATATTGAATAAATAAAGGTAACACACGAAACGTTAAAAAAAGGCCCCTTTGGTCGTAATATAAAGTGTAAAAGATTTCAGATTTTTTTTTATTTTTATTATCATTATTACTGTTATGAAAGTACTCATATCAACATATAGTAAGGTTATCCACAGAAAAATCTAATTTTTAAAAGAGTCGCCATTTGGAAAAAACGTTTGAGAAAAACGCTGCGTTAATCAACTAAAAATAAAGAGGATAAATTCATTAAAACATAAAGAACTATATTTCAGTAAACTATTTTTAAGTAATGAAAATCGGAGGCATGTTGTATGAATATTACATTCATGTCTTGCAATTGTTTATGGTCATTCTAAAAGCTCCATTTTTTCCATAATAAAACCATTACTAATTATCAACATGAAAACGCAACACAAAGAGAAGTAATTGGCTTACCATTTCTTTCCTAGATGTCAAAAACTTCTACATAAAATAGTCAAAATACAGGATTTACGTATCACAGCATAAATTCAACGCGTATTCGAATTCTATGGTCGATCGAAGCTTCAAAACACATTTATTTGAACTGCTTTCAAAACCGTCGCAGAATAGGAAGTTGCAAAATCAAAAACCTCGATCCGGGGAAACACCTCATAAAGAGAAACATGGGGGCATCCAACTTGAGCTGTGCGACTTGCTATTTTCAGTCCTTTTTCCGAATGCCCCGACGTGCACATCTTCACCGTCATACATCCTCTTCGGAAAACGTCGGAGGTGGTGGATTTTTTCTTCTCTCAAGATCATTATAACGTATTTCTTCTTTCTCCTCCTTCCGTTTGTTTACAGCTCTTCCTCTGACTCAGTTCAAATGCTAATTTTTCTCCAGTGCTCTCAGAGATGAGATTTATGGAATGGCAATTCTGGCTTTCAGGTTGGAGGGCTCGTTACCACGAAGAGCTTGCCTTTTCTTTTTCCATAATTAAGGTCTTCAGCTGAAGAGAAGGAATGTTTTGCTGCAAGAGAGAGTTAGGTTGTTTTATCCTAACTCATAGGTAAAGACTAAAATATCGCGCAGAGAGTTTTAAAGAATTTATGACTGTTGGAATTTTAAGAGGAAAGCCAAATTGGCTATTACGAACGAGTTTCCTATCTCAGTGTTTCTGATTTCAATAACAAATCAGGCGAACGTTCGAGCGTTTTTTGTTTCAATGAGAAACCTGTTTCTTTAATTCATTGCTTTTAATTCTGGCTCATAGGGAAGCCAAAAGCTTTTTATCATTTTTAATATTTTATTAGTTTTTTAATTCTCTCTCTCGTATTTTTATTATTTATGAATTATTACACACCATTTCCATAAGGCTTTGGATGCTTCTTTTGTTCCAATGCTTCAAAAAGTGCAGATTTCTTAAGACCCCTAAATTAATATAAAAATATATATGCTTTATATCAGCTGATAATGGCAATAAATGACAAAATTAGAAATGATCTAAACAATGTATAAAGTTATCCGAAGAGTTCTACTGTTTTTAAATCGAAGAGAGTTTGTTTCTAATTATTTTTTTAATGCAGAAAAAATGGTGAATGTTTAAATATGGTCTTCTCTGCGCATGTGTTGAGGCATAATTTTTCTTTCGGTGCAGTGTTAAGAATGAGCAATCCAAAAGTTTATTTTCATCATATTATGTATGCCCTTTTATTTTAAAAATGGTAAAAAAAAAGTCTAGCCAGATGCTTATAAAATTTGTGCTGTATACGAACAAAATTTTGTTTTTGATGACAGAGTTCGAAAGCATTTTAAGCTTGGCAATTTCATTCTGGACGATTCTCGCTTTGGACGTACGTCCCCTGCAAACGAAGACATATAAAAAGAAGCTATCACTCAAAATCCACTTATGCAATTCAGGAACTGTCAGACTGAATAAATATTCCTAAAAGTACAGCATATGATCATTTGAAGAAGATTGAGTCTGTAAGCTGCTAGATTGTATGGGTACCCCTTACTTTAATAGAGCAAAATGTTCTTGCTAGAATTTCCATGTGTGATTCTTTGCTGAAAAGAAACAAAATAAGCTCCCTTTTTTAAACGACTTGTGAAGTAGATGCTATACAAAAACGCTATAAGAAAATTATCATTGGGTAAGCCAAAAGAACGTTCTTTAGTAATATCGGAGAGGGTACTGCATGTGAAACAAGTTATGCTTTCTGTATGGTGGGTCTTCAAAGGAATTCTAGACTACGAATTGTTACCACCAAAACGTACAAAAAGTTCAGAAACATACTGTTCCAAATGACAGCTTTAAATACAGAAATCGAAGCGAAGTGCCTACAGCTGGTTAATCGTCAAGGTGTAGTCATTCAAAATTATAATGCTCGGCCATCACATTTAGATGAATGTCACACAAAGACTCTGATGACTATGATGACAGTGATGTTTCGTGTCCCCCTAATATATTCACTAGACCTCGCTCTCTCAGATTTTCAGAGACCTTCGTCTCTTCGGAAGCATGCACCCAAGATTCGTAATAACATGAAAGTTCAGCTCACACTTAGCCATGCCCATTTTGTATATACTCTTCCTTAATGTAAGTGTATTCAAGAGACAATGTTGATAGCTGTATTCAGATTTTTGTCCGGAGAAGTGTATTTATGGCAACAGTCTACAAGCCAATTGTATTTGGACTGTATATTTCTCACACGGTCACATGGTATGCTTCTTATTGAGGTCGTTGTACCTTTCTGTGTTGCTCTAACGTGCTCAGAACAGTATATAAATATATTAACGTCTTAATTTATTTAAGAAATATGTCCTTATAACTAAGCATATGTATCCAAATTCCAGTGCATAGTATAAGTGATATAATAACTTAGGAGTTCGACCAGTTATATGCATATAATATTTTACTTCCATATGCAAGTATGTTTCAATTTACATGAGCGCATCAACACGTCTTCTAACGAATGAATTAGTATAATGCAGTGAATATATAAGGTATTTCTCCAGTCTTCTTAGCATGCCTTCGTGGTGTAATGGTCAGCACACTCGGCGCGTAATCGAGAGGTCCGAGTTTCGAGTCCCGGCAAGGGCATTGCTCATTTTTCATGTCTCCTGTTTCGAAATAATCTAATGTCTCTACAAATCAGCATCTAGTACGTATTTAAATAAAATATCTCTAGTGTAACGCATGCATCATACCTAATGTCGGAAGTATTTGGATCTACAATCTATCATGTATCCCTAATTTTCTCTAGCATGGTATTAGAATCTTAATTTGTTTTAGCACTGTATAATATAATGTTATAATAATATAATAGCACTGTTAACATAATTAATAATATAACACACATAATTAATAATATAATAGCACTGTATGCATAATGTTGTTTGTGTAATGTTATTAGACGCACTAGTGCTGTACTATTTGTTAGCATTAGTATCGCAGTAAATGTTCATATCACAGTACATACCTGAAATGCTTTATGAGTGCAGTCTAGAACTGTATCATAAATTTATGTATGTTTAGATGTTTTCGTTTTGTATTATATATTAGCATTAGTGTTGTAGTATATGTTCACTACATAATATACTAATGCCTGAAATGCCTTTGTAAGGTCTGTATGTCTCAGTACTTATTGTTGCGTGCGTACGGGTTCCTAATAGATTGAATGCACAAGTCCGATAAAAAGTTAATAAAATTTATTCTTATCACAAGAAATAAAACAAAATGCTGGCTTTTTCCTCAAAGATATTCATACAGCAATCTAATCAGTAGCTATATTTTAAACTACTAAAACATTAAATAGAACGCAATCCAAAGCGCAGAGAAAGCTAATCCGATGTCACTGCGAATTCACTACAATTAATAACAACTTAGTAAACAACTGAACTGAAATGTTTCTCTTCGGCTTTTTAAAGCTTTTTAATAATGCACGAGAAAGTTCTGATAATTTCCGTTTTCTCGAGATTTCTGGAAAGCAACAGAGTAGAATTACGGTCACAGCTAACATAGTAGTCAATTACACTTATTCAGTTTAAATATAAATTACGAGATATCTATTTATTCAATGCGTGTGCTCCTGTATTTTTACTTTTTCGGCGTAGCTTTCTCTTAAAGCTCGCCACACGCTGTACTGCACGGGAAAAATAAAACAATTTTATTCACATTTCTACTAAAAATAGCTAACTAAATGCAAAATCCGTAACGCTATAATAGTGTTATGTACATGTGTCTGTTTTAAATGCCTTTAATGACGTCATTTATATTATCTTTATTATTGTACCGCCTTTGTAGGTCTCAGTACTTATAGTGGTATATACACTGCGAAAAAAAAAAAAAAAAAAAAAAAAAAGGACAGTTCTGTATCTCCCGTTCTACTGTGCCGATTCAACTTGCGTCTTTCATGTCTTGAAAGTGTGACTTAGGATATGTATTAGATTTATATATAGCACTGTTCTAATGAAGGTATTTTGACACAAAATCGGACTTTTATAATGTAGTTTTTCTGAGGTAAAAGAGTGTTAGAAATGAATGTGCAAATTTTAAGAGTACTATCATGACCAATTTAATCACCTATACAGTAGTTCAAAGTAAATGTACACTGTGACGAAACCAGAAAAGAAATACGTGTGTTAAATAGTAATTTGCCTCTTTGAAAGCAATTATTAGAAAGGGGCTTTAAATTTTTCTTGTATAACGAAAACTGCAAACAAACTTTTTGAAAAAAACGAAAACATCGGTTCATATTAAGCACGGAGAGAAAACCACTAAAGCTCCCAATCAGCCATGTTGTTCGCTAGGCTCTGAACCCGCATCCAAATACCAGTGCTCATTTTCTTGTAACACTTGGACTTTAGTGGGATACTCTTTGGTGGAGAAGGAAACTAGCAGCTAGCTGTTAAATCCGGCTTGAAATTTATTGTTTCGTTGAGTGCTTGAATTCCACTAGAAAATAAGCTTATTTCCATTGGAGCTTTGCACCCGAAACGTAATAAACAGCTGAACGTTTTCTCTGTCTCTTATTTTGTTCCAGAAGCCCAGTTTAGCGTTAGCCCAAAAGGGTTGTTAGTCTCGAAACGGCATTTTGCGTTGAATCACTAAAAGCGCTGAGTCATTTTTCAAATTGTTGCCACCAACTATTATCGCTCCTTTGTTATATTTAAAGAAATAAAATAATGAAGAATCTGCATGACTGTATGAATGTTTCTCGCATTGTGAAAAATCGACGGTACCTAGATCTATCAAATTTTGAATAACGTAACACTCCACCAGAACATGGGCCTCTGGAAGCCCGAATTTTGAATATGTTTTATTATCTATTTCATATTTTGTAAGATTTTAACAAATTTGTGATTAACAAACTCAACGATTACAAAGAGAGCACTGGCAACACTGTACGGGAAAAAATATTTTTATCTCCAGCGCGCGAGACTGTCTATCGGAAATTCTAAAGATATACTGTTTTTAAATATTTTGTGATATTGCTGATGAATTGTATTTTACTTGGTTTAAGTGCGAAGAACAGTATATTTATTAAATAAAGAAATACACAAAACGTTAAAAAAACACCCCTTTGGGCTTAATTTACAATCTGAAATCTATCAGATTTTTTTCCGTGCGTGTGAGTGTGCATAATTTTTATTTAAACATCTTGTATAGATATCCTTATCATTACTTATGCCCTGAGATTTCTTTCTTATTCTCCTCATTTCTTCTGAAAGAATATAAAAAGGAGTT